GGAACCTGGCAACTTTATAATTTACATGACTTATGACAGTAGCCAATTGGATAGTCAACATGGTTTCACTAGAGGAAAATCTTGCCTTACTTATCTTCTTACATTCTTTGAAGAGGTACTGCTTATGTAGATGAGGATAAGGGTGTAGATTTGGTGTATCTGGATTTTCAGAAAGCATTTGACAAGGTGACACATAAAAGGGCTTGTAAAAAAAAAATTATCTCTATAGGTGTGGGGAATAAGTTAGTTAATTGGATAGAAGAGTGGCTTGATGGAAGAAACCGGAGGGTTGTTGTAAACAGAGTTCAGTCAAACTGGGTTAATTTCATGAATGAGGTACCTCAGGTCTCAGTGTTAATACCTTTGCTTCTTTTGATTTACATCAATAACTTAGATGCTGGAATGGTCAATTGATTATTTGAATTTGCTGATGACATTAAATTTTTTGGGTGTTGCTGACTTTGAGGATGATGATACTGCTTTAGAAAAGGATTTAGATTACTTTGTGAGTTGGGCAAGTAAATATCAGATGCTTTTATTATTCATCATTATTATTATTTTATTATATACAAAGTGTTGCAAGTGGGATATCACAATTTGAATTATGAGTAAAAGTTTGATGGGAATGACCTCAACAATGTTATTAAAGAAAAAGATCTTGGTGTTCTGGTTGATCAGTCTCTTAAGCTATCCAAGCAATGTACTGTTTCTAGTGGCAAGGCACATAGGATTTTAGGTTGTATCTACAGAAATATTGAATACAAGTCTAAAGAGGTTATAATTTCCCTGTATAGGTCACTGGTAAGGCCACATTTGGTGTACTGTATATAGTATTGTGCTCCTTACCTTAGAAAGGACATTGAATTATTGGAAAAGTGTTCAGAAGAAGGCTACTAGAATGTTACCTGGGATAGGAAGGTTGCCCCAGAGGGATAGGTTAAGATCTCTGAACTTGTTTTCTCTTGAAAAAAGAAGAGTGGGAGAGAGTTCACACAGGTCATTAAAGTATTGAAAAGTGCTTGAATTTCACTTAAGTCCTGGAAATCTGGAAGATAAATGATTTTCTGGGAAAGGTCTTGAAAAAAAGGTTCCAAACAAAATTATTACCAAAATTTTAAACTTTGTTAAATGACTTCGCAAACCCTCTTTTAACAGACTTTCAGAAACTTTTCCCATCACTGATGTAAAACTAACAGGCCTATAATTACTGAAACAATTTTATCACCTCCCTTGAAAAGAGAAATGAACACTAACCAACTTCTAATTATCTGGCACCTGCCAACTATTCAAGGACTTACAAAAAGTAGTAGCAAGTGGCTCACATATACAATACTTAACCTCTTTCAAAACCTTTTGTGGAAATATTATCTGGCCCAGGAGTGTTGTCCTTCTTCAAACTTCCAGATTTTTTTTCTTAACAATCTCAAAATTAATGTGACCATCTTTGATTTGTGCAATGCATAAAAACTTGTTTGTATATGAAAACAAACCATAGTAATTATATAGAAATAATTTTTTTCTTCCGTTAAATAGTCTTAGGATTTTTTGTATACTGGAGATTCTGTATTTCATATTTCAATGTTTTTCCCTTAAATAATTATAATGTTTTCCAAAATAATTAGACTTTAAAGAAAAAAGAGAGGGAGTATGAGCATGAGATGGAACGGCTGGCAAGAGAAAAAATTGCTTCCCAGCAGAAGCTAGCAGCATTAAAGAAAGACCTATCCACACATCTGGACCATGTGGACATAAATAACTTGCTACCAGATCCAGACAATGAAACTACAACCACAGCTTCAGGTGAGTCTTGTAAGAGAAAACTTAATTGTTATTGAATGTTCTTGTAAAAACAGTGCAGTGTATTTATTTGAACTTTCACAAGTAAAACAAAATGTACTCACATTTTAAAATTGTCAAGCCTACACTTTTACAAACAACACATCAAAACTTCAAATAACTACTAACTCAACAAATAACTTTGACACAACTTCAAAACTTCTAATCCAACAATATAACCTTGGCACAACTTCAAAACTTTTAATCCAACAATATAACCTTGCCACAACTTCAAAACTTCTAAACCTACTATATAACCTTGGCACAACTTCAAAACTTTTAATCCAACAATATAACCTTGCCACAACTTCAAAACTTCTAAACCTACTATATAACCTTGGCATAACTTCAAAACTTTTAATCCAACAATATAGCCTTGGCACAACTTCAAAACTTCTAATCCAACAATATAACCTTGGCACAACTTCAAAACTTCTAATCCAACAATATAACCTTGCCACAACTTCAAAACTTCTAATCCAACAATATAACCTTAGCACAACTTTAAAACTTCTAATCCAACAATATAGCCTTGGCACAACTTCAAAACTTCTAATCCAACAATATAGCCTTGGCACAACTTCAAAACTTCTAATCCAACAATATAGCCTTGGCACAACTTCAAAACTTCTAATCCAACAAT